CCCCTCCCCCCCACATCCATCAGTCCTCAGTTTTTGTCAGCATTCAAGAGTCTCTCATGGTTTGCCTCTCTCCTTTCCCCCATTTCCCCCCTTCTTCTCCCCCTTGGTCCTCCGTTAAGTTCCTCCTAATCCTCCTATACGCACTGAAAAATCTAATAACCCAAATTAAGTACTCAACAGGTGGTTTTAAAATTTTTTTTAAAATTTAGTTATTTTGAGAGAGAATGTATGGGAGGGGCAGAGAGAAAGAGACAGAGAGAGAGACAGAGAGAGAGAGAGAGAGAGAGAGAGAGAGAGAGAGAACCCCAAGCAGGCTCCACACAGTCATACTGCAGAGCCCAATGGGCTCAAAGTCACTAACTGTGAGATCTTGACCTGAGCTGAAATCAAGAGTCAGAACCTTAACCGACTGAGCACCCTGGCACTCTTCAGCAGGTGGCTTTAATAACATAAGAGACACAGCTGAAAAAGAGTTTTAGTGAACTGGAAGACAGATCAAAAGAAAATACCCATAATGAATACCAGACAGACAAAACAATATGGGAGTTATATAGATTGCAGTGAAAAGAACTAATATAGGAGCCCTTGGGTGGCTATCAGTTAAGCATCTGACTCTTGATTTCGGGTCAGGTCATGATCTCATGGTTCGTGGGATTGAGCCCTGCATTGGGTTCCATGTGTACTCTCTCTCGAAATATAAATAAACATCTTTTTTAAAAAGAAAAGAACTAATATAAATGTGGCTGGAGAAAAAAGAGTGAGAAAGTATGTGTCACTATCAATATTTAAAGGGTATCTTTGTAAAAGAAGAGAAAGGGAGAAAACAAAGGGGACAGGCAGCACATGAGGACAGAGTTAGAGATTGGAGTGATGTGGCACAACCAAGAAGGAATGCCTGGAACCACCAGAGGCTAGACGAGGCAGGGAAGGATTCTCCCCCAAGGTCTTCAGGGGGAGCATGGCCCTAATGATACCATTATTTTGGACTTTTGGCCTCCAGAACTGTAAGAGAATAAACCTCTGTTGCTTAACATCAGTAAGCTTGAGAAAATTTGTTATGGCAGCTCTAGAAAACTAATACAGGATTGTAACATCAGAGTGAAGAAAGCAATTAGGCTTTAATTGAAAGACCTGAGCTCTGTTCTGGACATGTTTGTAAAGCTGTGTGGCCTTAAGCAAGTCACTAGGCCTCTCTGGGCTGCTTTCTTCAGCAGCTCACGAGAAGGTGAGTCTGAATGATCAGCAAGGCCTCTGCCCATTCCAAGGTTCTGAGAGTTCCTTTCACTGTTCTATTCTGGCTAGACTCAGACCCCTGATCTCCCTGAGGCCCTGGGCAATGGGCTGAGGCATGGCCTCTTGCTATAAAGTGACCACCAATGTTAAGGTGGGCATCCTCCCTCTGGTGACTGATGTTGGGCCTAGGACTCCATCTTATTTGATAGGTAGAGTGATATTATGAGGCTCCTATGAGGGTAAAAATAGCCCAGTACTGTATCTAGGGAGAACCAGTTGTCACAGTGTGGAAGCTGTAAATCATAATGTGCTTCCCTCTCTGGATTTATTGGCACTAGTGATGTCTTGCTGGTCACTGCTGTTGGAGAGGGAATGAAGTGATGTCTGAGATTGCAGGGTCTGTCTCCACCTGCCCATTATCGGAGACCAGTGTGGCCAAAAGACCCACCCCTCATCCCCATAACCATCGTCCTCCAGGCTGGCCTGTGGGAAGCCTGGGCCAAGTGTATGATCCTCCTTTGGGGCAGAATTTATCATCACTGGTTTAGCAAAGAGGATTCTGGGGCTTGGTTTGCGGTGGAAACAGCCATCCTTGGTCACTTCAAAAGGTGGAGATGGTTCCTGCAGACTTGTCCTGGAGCATTAAACACTAGCACTGAGCTTTCCTGGCCTTATCAAGGTCCTGTTGAGGCCAAGTCAGCAGGAGGCCAAACCCGCCCTGTTTCCTACACTGCAGGGTTTCAGGCCACTGCCTTGATCCCTCCACCTGCAGCCTGTGCTCAGCAAAATGTCACGTGGAGTCAGCTTCGCTCATCTTATCCTTGCATGGCAAGATCGGCCGAGGGGTCTTAAAATATCCTACTTGAGAGAATAGGCTTGAGACTTACTATAAGAACTTAAAATGCTATACTTACTATAAATGCTAAAAATAAAAACTAATCCTAAAGTGTGACATCTGCACTACACTTTAAAAGAAAAACTTTTAAATTTGATGAGAAGCTTAAAAGAAGGATGTTTCAATGCAGCTTAAGTTCATGGCCTGTGTCACTAGGGTCCCTCCTTGTGTTACCAGTCATATTCTACATCATCTACTCTACTCCTTCGAATGATCTTGGGAGGCCTGGAAGTCAAATCCTGTTTACAGACAATAAACTATATTTAAAAAAATCCTGTTTACAGAAGAGGCACCTGAGAAAGTAAGGGGCCTAAGCCTCAAGGAATTGTTAGACGTTAACTTAGTGCTATGACCTCAAGACCCTGGTTGGCCATAGAGAAGCAGCCTTCATAAGGGCAAGTCGACTGCTCTGGTACTATCTGTGTCATGAAAATCATCTTTGAAGAGTAATTAGAGCCAATGCTTACTGAGGGCTATGTACCACCACGCTAAGCCCTTTACTAAAATAGGCGGTCTTCTCAGTCATCACAAAAATTATGTGAAGGTACTATTATTACCAACCCCACTTTACCATGAAGGAGAATGAGGCACAGAGAATTGACCAGCACACAGTTCCCCGAGCTAAAAGGTGGAAGAGTCCAAATATGAAGTCATCCAGGCCACAGTTCCCCCAGCTAAAAGGTAGAACAGTCCAAATATGAATCCCTAGCCTGGGCTCTCAAGTCTCAATAATAAAAAGATATCTGGGGCATGCTAAAACAATACCAAAACCAGCACATTTGAAAAATATATATCCTATTGTTTTAAAAATACATCTTGTCCCTCCCCAAAGACTTCCCAATAAGAAATGAAAATGTTGTGTCCATGCTACTTTATTTTTTACACCAGTGAATATTCTGGCAAATATAGAGCAAGAGAATTATCTTTAAGTATTGTTCACAGAAATTTGACATTCGTTCAAAATAATTGCTTGATTTCCTTATCTGATCCAGTTTCTCTTTGCCACTGAATTCTGCAAAAGAAGAGAAAAATGTGTACCGCTTGCAACAAATTATTATCAGAATAGGGATGAGAACTGTGGGTATGTTATTATATAACATATTTAAAAATTATGCCTCAATTGGACAAGTTGTAAATGCCCCAAATTGGTACTTATTTATCTTTGCTGTATCTAATTAGGCCATTCAGTCTGTGTGAGGGCTATGGCCTCTGGGAACATCTTCCCCTGCCTTCGCCTGGGGAGCTCTGTGTCCCAGCATCTGGACAGCTTTCTTAGGCACCGAGGCCTGACCAGGTCCTGGCTGCGGTCAGCAGGTCAGGGTCAGGCTCCAGGAGAGAGGCTGTGACACCTCCAAAGGACTGCCACCTGATGTCCCTGGAACCATACCATCACGAGAGACAGAGGAGGCCCTCATACATGGACTTCACTTCACAGGTCTGGAGGCCAAGGAAACTCCCCAGATTTAAACTCTGGGTCTCAGAACACTTCTGAATGGATGGAGTAGCTTTGCCTGGCTGTACTCAGAGATGTTCCCACTATAAGTACTCGCCCTCCCCTGCCAAGCCTGCTAGGGTGGTGTTTCCCTCATCAGAAGGGCCAGGTGAGAAGTCCAGGGGGTCAGCAGGGCCGTGTGGGGTTCTCGTTCCCTCACAGCTACTGCTGGAGCCAATAGACCTGCAAAGAGCTGGCAGGCAGCAAAGGCTGCACTGGGTGCTTGGGACAGTCTGTTCATACCAGGTGGCGGTGGGGGTCTCTGCAGTGTGGAGAGCAGGGAAGGGAGGGGTAGAGGGGCCCTCAGAGCTTCCATGTGGCCCGCCTCTTTTTGAACTACTACCGTTCTGGCTGCCTCTCACTCCCCCCTCAGTCAGACACAATATTTGCTTAGAGAAGACTGCAGTGGGGCTGACCTTGGACTATCCTACCGAGTGTTAGCTTCAGTGTTTCTTCCATTCCTTGGCTGGAAAAAAAAGATGGAGCAGCTTACAGATACTGAGACAAAACTGCCTAGAACCTGTGTCTGGGCTTCAGATCCTTCCTCATCTCATCTCCTAACTGGGATGTCAGCAGCCCCGTTGGGAGTTCCCCTGGGAAGCCCTAGCCCAGGGCTGGTACATAGGTCACCTGTGGCAGTGCTCCAGGACCCTTGCTGATCCTACAGCCCTGACACTGTCCCTACCCTACCCCTCCACCATCCCCCAGCCTCTATGTGGTGGGATGGTCTCCAAACCATTTATCACAAGACTTCTCACCCTAAAGACATCATGGAGACCCACTGTTTCTCAAAGCACTTTCTTGAGAATAACCACTCATAGGTCATGCAGGCAGCATGGAGGTGGAAGAACTTCCTTGATCACACCAGTTGGGAACTACAGGTTGTTTCCTGCAGGCCATGCCCACGTGCACTGTAAATCTTTGAGAGTGCTGGGTGCAGTGTTTTCCAATCTTGTCTGATCTTTGCAGAGTAACCTCTTAGCACCAGTGACCCACTACAGAATGCAGTTTGAGGGCCATGGGTCTAGACTGATTTGTAGTTTGATTTTTTTGATGCAAACACTTGAGGATCTAGGGAATGAAGCATAGCTGGCCAGTGGCAGATTACAGAGACAGTTTCTGACTCTGTGGCCTTTGCAAGAGGCTTGGAGATCCCAGGGCAGGAGGAAACGATGGCACTTATACTACTTCCAGTGTATTGGGGGGCCACGTATCCTGACCTTTGTGTTCAGAGTCACAGACTCTAATTCCGTTGGCACCCATGTCTGTCCATCAGTAGCACTCTCGCCTCCCACCCATGCTCTCAGAGCCCTGGTGTTCTCAGCCTGGGTCCTCTGGACCCTTTTCTTTACAAATATCACGTATCTAGGAGGAGTCTTTGAGAGTTACCCCTAAGTAAAGGGTGAGAGAGTCCCCATAATTGTTCACCTGCTTGCCATGGGGTGCTGGGCTGTGCTTATTCAGCAGGAACTCATAACTGGTTGGCGGGAGGAGGGGAGGATTGGGGTCAAAAACAGAGAAAAAGAAATGTGTTTTACCCTGAAAAGAAAAAATGGTCGTCCCAAGGTGGCAGTGTGATCCTGCAACATAAAAACACAAACCATTATGGAACCACTTTGTGCCGAAGGTCTTCTGAAGACGTCTATGACAGCAGTTTTCAAAGTGTGGTCCCAGACCAAAAGCATCAACAACACCTGAGAATTTGTTAGAAATGCACATTCTCAGGTCCCTACTGAATTTTAACAAAGTCCCAAGGTGTCTATGATTCAAGGTCAACCTCGAGAAGCACTGGTTTGTACCGCTTGCAATACCCCTCCCCCAGTTTGTACAACTGGCGTGTGAGCCCCTGAGCCACATACAGCAAATCCTCAGGAACAGATGGCTCCAGGTGACTCATCTGCAAGAGTGGAGATGAAATATAAACAACCGGAAGCACTGCCCCATGGCTCCTATCTGCCTCAGGACAAGCTTGGGAAAACCTGAAATTAAATGCTCAGCCACAGAGATGATTATCAGGGGCATATAGTGAGACCAGATCTTTCCAGAAGTGATCTGAAGGGGCTACAAGGTTGCCCAGCTCCAAGCACTTCCCTGTCCTTCTCTCTAGGTCTTTGGGAGTTTTGTTCTCCATGCGGGGCTCACCTACCTTCTTGGCGAAATCTACTGCATCAGTCCCCGAATCCTGTGAGGGAGGGAGGCACAGGTTACTTTAACAGGAACCACATTTCCCAGGCTTGCCGTTGTTCTGCTGGGAACCAGCGCCTCCCTGGCTCCATCCTCACTAATCTTTAGGTAGCCAGGAATCAGGTACAAAAAAGCAGGGGAAGGGCTAACCATGCATAGCCAATAATTTCCTGTTCAGGAAGGCAAGCATGTTTTCTTTTCTTTTTATTTATTTATTTTATTTTATTTTTTTTTTTTTGAGAGAGAGAGATAGTGTGAGCAGGGGAGGGTCAGAGAGAGAGGGAGATACAGAATCTGAAGCAGTCTCCAGGCTCTGAGCTGGCTGTCAGCACAGAGCCCGATGTGGGGCTCGAACCCACGAACTGCGAGATCATGACCTGAACGAAGTTGGACGCTTAACCGACTGAGCCACCCAGGCGCCCCAAGCATGTTTTCTTGATTGAGGTGTCCTTTGTGCCCAGGACACGAGGTTAAGCTGGCTTGTTCTTTCCAATAGCCTCAACTTGAAACTGACCCCTGGCTTACGCAAATTGTCAAGGGTAAGCCTGTGGCAGCTTCTTTAGCTGTCTTCGCTTGTGGGTCTGGCGTAACAAGGATCAGGCTCAGTCTGGAAGGTTGCAATCAGCAGTGGATCAGACAAGACAGACTGCTGCCTGTGCATAAGATGACCAGCTAATTTTCCAGGATCTGAGCAGCTTCCTGGGGATCTTGGGAGTTTCAAAGCTAACAGCAGGAAAGTCCTGGGCAAACTGGGATGAGTGTCAGCATTCAAAAGAAATGTTCTTGGGGCGCCTGACTGGCTCAATCTGGCGAGTATGCGACTCCTGATGTCTGGTCTGAGTTCGAGCCCCACCTTGGGTGTAGAGATTGCTTAAACAAATACATTTTTATAAAAGAAATTTTCTTTTTCTTGCTTTTTTTTTTTTTTTTTGCTTGGGGGTGGACTCCCATGCAACAAAATCTCAATTAGCATTTTAAACAATTATAGCTATTACTGAAACTGGTAATTTCTAAACTTAAAAAACCCCCACAATTTTTAAAGAAACAAAGTTCTGAGAGTTGGGCAAAAGGGCAGGTGGGGCAACAACGGGAAGCAAGGGAATGACCAAGGCAACTGTTCGCGTCAAGAGGAAGAGGAAGGGTCAGGGAAAGCGAAGAAACAACACGAAAACTACAAGGAAACAGGGATGGCAAGAGCCAAAGAGAACTTCTTTGTCCCAGCCCCGCCCCGCGGGGGCCCTGCAGCCACTGGGTAGGTTGCCAGCGTAGGGGGCTGAGACACCAGGTGAGCCAGCTCTCCTTCCCAGGTGGAGGCTTGGAGTCCAAGACAGCATGCAAGTGCGTGCCTCCCCACCCCCACTCCCCGGGCGACCACGTGCATTTACCAAGGTTAAGTGAACTTCGGGTGGCATAAAAGAGAAAAACACCTACGCGCTGCTGCGGAAATCTTTTCATCCTTCGGTTGGCGAGCTGCGCGGCCAGGCGCATTAACGGGTGCACGGGGGGAAACTGCAACAGAGGGCGCAGGGAGGGTGGGACTCTGCGCGGGGACGCAGCCCTCTCCACGGCCCGCCTTATAGATGGGTTTAATTTCCAGAGGAAAGTCCATGTCAGAGCCTAAGCTTGCAATTTAATGTTTTCAATAAAGAGCTGCTTGCCTTTATAGCAGGCTACAATTTCAACACATCACTTACAAATATTCTCTGAGGGTAAATCAGACTTTTATCTGCCTTAACGCCAAGCGTTCTTTCTAGTGTGGAGTGCATGGTCCCAAAGAAGCGACCCCACGTAGATCCTTTTTCGCTCCAGGTGTGCGCTCCCAGTCTAGGGAAGGAGGTGAAAGGACAGCATCCATAACCCTCTCCCTAATGCATTTGACTTTCCTGCACTTTTTGTCTGTGACCTCCTGCACACACTCAGACATACATACCGGTCGGTGTCTTATATCTAGTTTTTGTGAATCCTCCCTGAGTATTTTGGCTCAGAGTCAAGGTTCATTTATCTCACAGAGCTCATCTTTCTCCTTCCATTGTCTTTTCTCCTTTTGCAGTGCTCATGGCCCTTCCTGAGAACATCCTCATCCTTACCTCAGCCTCATTTCCTAAACCTATACTGTAGATGAATCTTTGCCTCTTCAGGAAACCACGCCTTGCTGAATTTTTTGTTTGTTTGTTTGTTTGTTTTTAATTTTTTTAATGTTTTATTTTTTTCTAGGAGAGAGAGAGAGAGAGACAGCGTGAGCAGGGGAGGGTCAGAGAGAGAGGGAGTCACAGACTGAAACAGGCTCCAGGCTCTGAGCTGGCAGTCAGCACAGAGCCCGACGCGGGGCTCGAACCCACGAACCGCGAGATCATGACCTAAGCGAAAGTCGGACGCTCAACCGACTAAGCCACCCAGGCGCCCCTGTTTGTTTGTTTGTTTGTTTGTTTGTTTTTACAAATAGTTTATTGTCAAATTAGTTTCTACATAACACTCAGTGCTCATCCCCAAAGTGCCCTCCTCCATGCCCATCCCCCCCTCCCCCCCCCATCCATCAGTCCTCAGTTTTTGTCAGCATTCAAGAGTCTCTCATGGTTTGCCTCTCTCCCTTTCCCCCACCATTTCCGCCCTTCTTCTCCCCCTTGTTCCTCTGTCAAGTTCCTCCTAATCCTCCTCCCCTGTTTGTTTTTTTAAGAGTGTTCTTGAAGACCTGGAAAGCCTTGATTATATAAATAACTGAGTTTCTAATGGTAAATTTCAGATACTATGACAGAGCACCTGAATTAAGAATTTTATTCTATGACTTTTCCAATATTCCTCAAATCATACCCTGCAGAAATTCACTTACACCGCCTGCTTTTCAGGGTAACTCAAGCTCGTAATAACAAAGTTAGAGGTGGTGCATGTTATTCCCATAGCACATACACACGGTGATGGTTATAGAAAGTGCAACTCCATGGATCACTACTGTGGATATGGCACACTTCGCAAAACAGATTTTTATTAGAAAAATAAGGTTGTATGATAAATGTAAATAAAGCTGAGTATTTATCAGGCCCTTTAAAATCATTTGTTCTAAGTTCATAATAAAAAGTTATTCCTCAGGTATTTTTCCTTTTCTACGATACAGTCTCTAACTTTTCTGATCTGTCAGCCTCCTACCACCCCCAGCCCAGACAGGGAGAGAGATAATATACCTGAAGCCCCAGGAAAAAAATCTTTGAAAGCTATTACACAGACTGTCTGCAAGCCCCCTGCTTTTCTACTTATCTGCACATATTAGGTGGGGATAAAAGGCAAGCAGAGGAGAGTGACTTTTACAGAAACAGGAATATGGTAAAATACTGACCCCGCTTTTAACTGGATGTGTTGGCTCCTGAGTTCTGGAGTAGTGAAATAAAAACTGAATAAGACAAAAAGCTGATTTTAGTACAAGTGTCACTTGCTGTAAATGTGAAAGTTACATGCCCGTGTTGCCAGGCTGGGCAGTACTCACCCTTTTGCATATGTCTTGATTATCCTAGAAAGAGAATTGTGAGGGTAAGTTACATGGAATTTTACTGGGGCAGGCAATTAACAAGGTTTTCAGTATAAGTTACACCATGGACCTTATTGAATTTATCTGAATATTATAAAATAAGTTGGCAATCTAAAATCAATTAGACAAACTCAAGACTATAGTTGATGCAGGGCATACAAAAAAGTAACTTGCCAGCAATGCATCATTATTTTAAAACGAAATCTTATTTTACCTTCCAATCTTTGGGAGAAAAACATTCACACAGAGGAAATCCCCTAATCAGTTCCCAGATAACCATTTAAGAGTTGAAATAAAATTAATGATTTTAATTTTTAATTTGTTGCTGGGTGTACCCTAGAATTCAGGGGTTTTTTAGGGTTGGTTCAAATCAACCATACTATCCCCCATCCCCACCCCCAAAGCTTTCTATATGAACTCCCAGTCTCTTTGCAGAAAGCCCAACCTCCATTTCTAAATCCCCAGTAGCGCAGCATCTTGCCCGTGTTGGCATGGATGGCAGACAGGGATGGTTGTATAGGCAGCATACGCTACTCCAGGATATTGCTGTGAAGAAGACATCTTATGAAACAATAAATCAGGTTTCCATGCCCACATTTTGTAAAATTGATTGAGAGGATTACTGAGAATGATACTGCAAATACGCTGATCTGGCTAATATTGATCACTCACAAGTCAATCCCATTGAAATCTTCTTGAATCAACTCAAACTTCAATCAGGACAGAAATGAAAGTTGTTAATAAGACTTCTAATTTGCTGCTGTCGATACTATTACATCTTTCTGCAAACTGTGGAGAGTTTCTGCGTGGGAAGCAGCTGATACTTAGGCATTTCACACACATGCATGCATGCACACACACACCTGTCATGTATGTGTGAGAGGATGTGTGTTTTCTGGACACTTATTGGGCAAACAATTGTTTTTTTGTACCATATTCATCAGCTTTAAACTGTTATGTATCAGGTAAAAAAATAACAAGGAATAGGAAGGTGCTTTTCCAGGTGCTAAAATACCACTCTCAACATATCATATGCACCTTCCTTGCTTTAATTTTTACTTTTTACAGAAACAAATCTCAAAATGTACTTACCTATCTAATTTATGATTTATTTCCCTAACTAGAACTTAAATTTCATGAGAGCAGGTAGTTTTGTCTGTTTTGGCCATTACTGCACCTTTAGCACCTAACACATGTGATGCTTTCAATGAATATATTTTTTTGAATAGATGAACAGTAGAGCTGTGTTCACAAGAATCTGTTGCCACCTTCCCATCTAAACTTCTGATCCCATAGAAACAGAAAGCAGGGAGACGTTCCGCAAGGGTCATTATTTGTAGAATGTAACTCTGCTTTCTGAGTTGCTTGGATAGAACCCTAGAGACACAGACCTGGCTTTTCTGGAGACTAGGACTGGAAGTGGACTTACAGCCCAGTAGCTCATCCAGACATGGGATAGTTGAGGGAACCAGAGCCCCCGGAGAGGAAATGGCATGCCAGAAGTCATATTTTAATGCAGCAGCAAGACCAGGAAGAGCCACAATCTTTCTGTCCACAGATTTAAAATATTGATAGTTTTGTTCACTGAATAAGCCCTTGCTCTTCTACAACTGGAGATGATGAACGGGATCAGCTTTGGAAAGATGGAGAAAGTGGAAGGAAATTCATTCCAGGTGGGCCCTTGCACTTGGGGAAACCCATAGCCCAATTTAATACTGTAAGTAGCACATGTGACAGCCACACTCCCACTTTCTCTGTTTATGTAGGGGACATCCTCGCAGCCTTCATTTGAGGGGTAGGGAAGCCCAATCAGTGTGAAATGAACAGGCAGTGGCAAGGATATAAAACTGATTTTTCACCCTAAATTTTTATTCTGGATAGCAAGGCTGTAAGATTAGTTTTAAAGATAAGAGATAACACTTGTCTTCAAACATATTCATAAAGATAAACTGAAAATAAGAAGAAATAGGTACGATATATTTATGAAGTGTAAAAGAGAAAGTGATACTTGAGTCTTGAAGAATGGCCATGAGTAGCATCAGAGACAATAGTAACAGCTGGCACTTAAGTGCTATCATTTACTGTGTTACTGTTGAAAACACTTCACAAATATTAAAGCACTCAATCTTCACAACATGAGGCTACTATTATTCCCACATTACAGATGGGGAAACTGACACACAGAGAGATTAAGAAACTTGCTTGGGCGCCTGGGTGGCTTAGTTGGTAAAGCGTCTGACTTTCACTTAGGTCATGATCTCGCGGTTCGTGGGTTCGAGCCCCGCGTTGAGCTCTGTGCTTACTGCCAGCTCAGAGCATGGAGCCTATTTCAGAGTCTGTATCTCCCTCTCTCTCTGACCCTCCCCTGCTAACGCTGTCTCTCTCTCTCTCTCTCTGTCCTAGAAATAAATTAAAAAAGAAAGAAAGAAAGAAAGAAGGAAAGAAAGAAAGAAAGAAAGAAAGAAAGAAAGAAAGAAAGAAAGAAAGAAAGAAAGAAACTTGCCAAAGTTAAGTAGATCTGGGTTTTAAACCCAGGTTCTTTGGTTTTAGAGTCTGAGTGTGAACACAGCCTGCAAAGACATTTGGCTAGGAAAAAGTCTGTGCAAATATATAAGGGCCTGGTGCATTTGAGGAATAGTGAGAAGTTCAATGTGGCCAGGATGTGGTATGCTGTAGCTTGGGGGAGGCAAGGAAGAAAAGATGTGGCTCAAGGTGAAACTATTCAGCTTATGCTAAGAATCATGGACTCCACCCGAACACCACCCTCTTGTACTTTTGATTGAATCAAAAATGGTTCTGTTGTGGTTCCTATCACTGTTAGGTTCTATATGTGAGATCTATTTACTTTGTATGCACTGAAAATTTCTGTTGCGATTTCTATCACTGTTAGGTCCTTTACATGACATCTATTGTTTAGAAGAACTATTACATCAGAGTATATCAATTTGTAACATATTGCATGATATGTTATAACATACATAATTAATATAATTTTACATGTATGTATTCTTATAATAATTATAAGAATATACATGAACTCCAATATTTTATGGTATTTTATATATGATGGATTCACTTGTCATTTCCTAAAACTACATTCTTACACGTGTGTTTACACTTGCACACAGATCTCTCCTGTAGGTACCAAAAAGGCATGCTTCTTACATATATCAATTATGATATAAACACGTGCATTTTTATAACTAACAGAAGAATTATATGTATATATATTTTTTACCTTAGGTTGCCTAGAAAGAGTTGCCCAATATGCCAGCCGCTAAATAAAAATATGAAAAATGAGTCAAAGATAAGTATAAATTCCTTAGTCAATAGAAATCTATTAAAACACATACAAAATTATAAAATTGTCCCAAGTATGAACTTTCTGTTATCTTCTCACACAGTGGCAGTGAATTTCAACACAACTCTCAGGATGCCTTAAATGAGGCCATGAAAATGGCAATATGAATTCCTGCTGCAGCCAAGAATCTGATCTTAAAATAGTTTTAAGTGAACATTATCCACATATTTTCAAGGCCAAGATGAAATAAAAATCTCACATTACTCAATAGCAGCATACCTCAAGCTGCATGATATCCAAGCCATCTGGGGGATCAGCTAGCAGTTGAGGAAATCCTATTATGAGCAATCATAAAAATATTAATTAGAGAAAAAAGGCCATAGCATTAATTTTTCAGTCTTTATCATGAAAAACATACAGAGATTCTAGAAATAAATATTTTTATAAGGACTTACAAAGAAAACACACTTCTACCTACCAACAGTAAATGTGAGATTTGTACTAAAATTAATTAAAATGATTTTTTTAATTTATTAGAAGTTAGCAATATAAGAGTATCTCAAGAGGGAAAAGATACCTAGGTAACAACTTAATTTGTATATTTATGGAATTTATGAAGATAGTATATTAGGAAATGGTGTCAAGAAAGTGTGTGCATCAGAATCACTCTTGGAATTTTTAAGAAATACAGATAACTTGTCTTTCTGCTTCATCAGACTTTTCAGGGGTAGGTTCTGGGCAAGGTTGCTACCAGCACACAGCTGCACCCTATTCAAGTCAGCCTTTACCTGGCCTAAATGAAGACTTCATCTTATTTGTACATGATGCAATACTTGGGGGAATAGCTAATACAGCAATTGAAGGAATCAATTGGAGAGATGAAATTAAATGGGATAAATGTAAAACCCTGAACTTAGATTTTTAAAATGTGGGACAGGGAATATCTAGCTCGAGAGTGTATATACATATATATACACACGTATATATACATATGTATATATATACATATATACACACACATATATACATATATACACACACTTATATATACATATGTATGTACATATGTATATGTACATATGTATGTGTGTATATATATGTATATATATAACTAAGACTAATGATTGCAAGTTACATGTGATCAGATTTCAGTTTAGTGTAAAGAGATTTTTAATGATTGGAACCATTCAAAAATGCAAAGTAATTTGAACCAATACTATAAGGATTTCTTAAGAGGTTCTGTGTTAACAGTACAAATGATAAAGACCATAGGGACCTTACCATTAGGAAACAAAAAAAATTAAACAGGAAAAAAGGAGAGATATATATAAATATATAGACTGATAAATAAAAGGTAATAACAAAGTGTAATATAAACAAGATTCTATTGGATCCCAGAAGAGGCAGTTAGTTACTGGCTCTCTTAGGCTGGTAGTGAGTTGGGTGTCACTGAAAATAATCAAATAGGGAAATCATAGATCCTTGCTTGCCACGAAAGGTTAAATTAGATGACTTCCAAGGTTCCTTGCAATACCTAGCTTTTGAGATTACACCATAAGACATAGCAAAACATACTGTTTGAAACATATTTTGTTTGAATATATTTTCAAAAATTGTCTACACCCCTAAATCAAAATTCTAATGGAAAAATCTGAAATCTTGAAATAGTCCGTGTTTCCAGTTGGAGCTGCCATGACATGCCTCCTTGCATCATTTGGCGAATTACCTTGAAATGGGTAACGCATTCGAACTACTGATCCCATATCTCATCCTTGGTTCCCTGCAAAGGTACTAGTCCTCAGAAGTTGGCGTTCCGTCAGCACCTCGGACAGCGCCCCAAGCCCACTAAGACCCGGAGCCTCCGCAGCTCTGTCTGGGATCCTGCCTATAGGGAGTCCACCGAAAAGCCACGAAAATATTCCTTTTTCCTGTGTGCGTTCCTTTCCCGCTCCTCTCCAACTGTCCCTCAATCCTCAGTCCTAGAGTCTGTAAACTCAACTTTACCTCCTCTGTTCTCTCTTCAGAATTCTAGGAACACAGATGGCTAAGATGTTGGGGTCTCCAACTCATATCCCTCACGGTTTTAGCAGCGCCTCTTTGGGACAGCCCTGAGTCAGGAACAGTTTAACAAGAGTTTCACAAGGGAAAGTCACGTCCTTCGGTAAAAGGCTGCAGCATCTAGTTCTGTCCATCCTCTCTTAAAGGTTAGGGATGAATGGGAAGCCATTTCAAAAGGGTGGAAATGGAGGTGGGGGGATTAAATTTGACTCCTTCCAGAACCCAGAATCACCCTGATAGATCAAGATCTGTCTCAGTCTTCCTTAGAACTCAGGCCAGCTGGGGTCTGATGAAGGGATCTCCTTACCTGAGGAGGGAATCTGTAGCATGCAGAAGCAATAGATGGCCAAGATGGAAGGGAATTGAGAAAGAAGGTGTTTCATTTTCAAAGCCTGATTTCTCTTTGTTGGCCACAGATGTGTGCTGCCCAGATAGGAGTTGAGCATTTCCTGAAGTTCCAAAGGCAAAGGAAATACTCTGCTCTGCATCTGATCGGGCCCAGTGAAGAAGGTGCCTTTATTTGCAACGCCCCGGATCCCATTGGCTGAGAACCAATCAGTTTTGTGCAGGAGGACCCTGGCTTTCTCATAAATGTCACGCTGGGCCCTTATTTGTAGAATAATATCCTCCCGGTGTAGGCATTGTAAAAAGTCATCTTTTTCAATCCTGTAATAAAAATAACAAGTGGAGAGTCATAATTGTTATTCTATAGTGGTTTGAGAAACATTTCTGATTCCAGAAAGGCTTTTTCTCTTTTTTTAATCAAAGAACTGGACATAAATCTATATACTCTTGTGTGACGAAGTCTTATTTCCTAAGAAGCTGTTTATTTTTCACCATTAACAAAGGATGTTTTATACTCTTTGGTGCATCTGAGAACAAAATTTGGAGTCCTGGATATAATATTACAAGAAACTCTAAAGTTCAAGTAGCTTTTTTTTTTTTAAATCATAGTTAGAAATTAGACTCTGTAAGATTTGTCTAGACTCATTACTATGAACAAGTTAAATATTTCAAATTAAATCAGTATACAAGAAAATATGACAAGGTTTAATTACAATAATAATAACAATAATAACATGTCATCTACTGAGCTCCTACATAGGATTTCACATATGTTATTTTATGTAGTTCTCACAGAAGATCTGTAAGGCGTGTATGATTATCCTAATTTTATAAATGGGAAAATTGAGGCTGAAAGAGAATAATGAACTTGCCAGGGTTACCAAACCATAAAAGACGCAGAGCAGGGATTTGGACCCAAGGATATCTGAGCCCAGTCATGTCTGTAAAAGTGTGAGATTTTAGTCAATATGTTCATTTTTTAAAAAAAGACCCTCCTTGATAGGGAATGCATTCAATGTGTAGATTGCTTTGCATAGCACGGGCATCTTACAACAGGGCACTATGCTAAGTGACATAAGACAAAGACAAATACCATATGATCTCACTTACATGTGAAATATAAAAAAATAAAACAATCACAACAAAACCTAGAAACAGACAGACTCATAAATACAGAGAACAAACTGGTAGTTGCCAGAAAGGAAGAGAGTGAAGGAGTGGGAAAAACAGGTGAAGGGAATTAAGAGGTACAAACTTCCAGTTACAATATAAATAAGTCAGAGGCTGAAAAGTATAACATAGGAAATATAATGAATAATATTATAAAAATGTCATATGGTGACCGATGGTACCATGGTGAACACTGTGTAAGGTATAGAGTTGTCAAGCCACTATGTTGTACACCTGAAACTAATATAATATTGTGTGTCAACTATATTTCAATAATAAAAACAAATTTTTAACAGCCTTCTTGAGATTGGCTATGGAATAGAAAGAAGGAGAAAGAATGAAGTCTGCAGTCTTGCAAAAAGTATAACCTATATAAGGCATATATCAAATAAGTATTTGTTTTTCATTATGCATAACTTTAATTTTTGCTCTTTTAAGGATTAGGAGGAAACTAACAATTGTTTTTTTTTTTTTAATATTTTTATTTATTTCTAGGAGAGAGAGAGACAGCGTGAGCAGCGGAGGGTCAGAGAGAGAGGGAGTCACAGACTGAAGCAGGCTCCAGGCTCTGAGCTGGCAGTCAGCACAGAGCCCGACGCAGGGCTCGAACCCACGAACCGCGAGATCATGACCTAAGCGAAAGTCGGACCCTTAACCGACTAAGCCACCCAGGCGCCCCGAAACTAACAATTGTTGAATGTTTACAATGTGTTTAAAACATGTTAATACTTTACCTAAGTCATATCATTTTTTTTCAGTCAATGAAAGTTTAAGAATAATTTTGTGCGGAAGTCACACAGAATAAACATATAAACTGTTTAATTATGCCTTAAAATGTGGTATTTTGCCCAAAAACTTCTAATTCATAACAGAGTGGGAATTATAAACTACTGTATAGCAATATTATTTTGCCTACTTCCTTGAGCCAGCGAGAAAATAAAGATTTCTATTTATTACATATTTACCACTTTAGTTCAAGGAGAATAAACTAAAGTCTTCAAACACCAGGAAGAGATGATGTCTTTGTATTGAAATATACCCACTGCTCAACTGCAAGTCTTTACTGAATGAATGGAAAAAAAAATGAATGATTGCTTTTTGAACATCAACCACTTATCTATATGATATTAAACACAATTACTTATGGACATTTTAGACACAAAACACACGTACTAGCAAAAGTTTGTGGCAGTTCTATTGTCAATCAATAAGTATTGTTTAAATATTTGGTCTGTCTCTACCATGAACTAGGTGATCTATGCACAAACATACATTTTTCAAATAAACCTATGTGATTGTGATGACTCTGATTTATATCAAATTAATTTTGTTTCTTTTGTACATTTTTCACACATTAATTTCTCAGATATTTAGAATAAAAAATAAAAATATTTTAAAATCATTATTTTTAAAAAGATTTTAAGTAATCTTTACACCCAACATGGGGCTCGAACTCAAAACCCGGAGATCAAGAGTCACATGCTTTGCCAATTGAGCCAGCCAAGTGCCCTTAAAAGTATTATTTTTAATGTTAATACAGAAACTGGATTATGTTGATATCCCAGAAATAAAATATGTTGAAGCCCTGATCCCCAGTGTGGCTGTATTTGGAGATAGGGCTTTAAAGAAATAATTAAGGCCAAATGAAGCATAAAGATAGGGCTCTAATCAGATAAGACTGGTGTCTTTATAAGAAGAAGAGGGACACTAGAATCCTTTCTCTAGAGCACATGAAGAAAGGGGTAGGAGAAGACACAGTGAGAAGGCACTGTCTGCAACATGAAGAGTGAGGTCTCATCCGAAACAATCTTGCTGGCACTTCATCCTGAACTTCCAGACTCCTAACTGTGAGAAAGTACATTTCTGGTGTTTAAGCCACCCAGACTGTAGTCTTCAGTTATGGCAGCCTGAACAGATGAATACAAACACATGGGGGGCGGGGGTGATTAGTCAATTCAGTAGTCCCCCAAAAGTAAAATGATGAAATGAAAGGTATAATAAAAGTTAGAAACTCTCAGTTTCAAATGATATGATTATCTACCCAGAAAATCCAAAGGAATCAACTGGCAAATTATTAGAATGAATGAGTTTACCAAAATGGCCGAATTAAAAAACAAAACAAAACAAAACTATTTTCAGGAATAATTTTCTTGAACATGAGCAAAAATAAATTTTAAAATGCATTAGATGGGGTGTCAGAGTGACTCAATTGTTTAAGTGTCTGATTCATGATCTCCACTCAGGTCATGATCTCATGGTTTGTGAGTTCCAGCTCTGCATTGGGCTCCTTACTGACAGTGTGCAGCTTCCTTGAGATTGTCTCTCCCTCTCTCCCTGCCCCTCCCACGTGCACTCACACACTCTTTCTCTCTCTCAAAAGAAACTTAAAAACATAAAATAAAAATACACTTAAAAATGTATTAGAAAATGTAAATAGCCTTAAAAACTATGCAATTCTGAGGGCTAAGCCAAAGAATAAGCATGCAATATATTAAAAAAGAAAACTACAAAACTTTACTAAATGTTGTAAGGAAATATGTGAATAAAGGCATATCATGATCATTGATGACAAGAGTTAATGTTAAAAGTTAAGGGGCGCCTGGGTGGCTTAGTCGGTTAAGCGTCTGACTTTCGCTTAGGTCATGATCTCGCGGTTCGTGGGTTCGAGCCCCGCATCGGGCTCTGTGCTGACTGCCAGCTCAGAGCCTGGAGCCTGTTTCAGAGTCTGTGACTCCCTCTCTCTCTGACCCTCCCCTGCTCACGCTGTCTCTCTCTCTCTCCTAGAAATAAATAAAACATTTAAAAATAAATAAATAAAAGTTAAATTGATGGCAAATTAATCTGTAAAGTTAGTGTAATCCTTATTAAAATTCCAAAATTCCTTTTTCATAGAATTTTAAAACCAACTCTCAAATCATTTTGAGGGGGAAAGTGTTCAGAAAAAAAGAAAGATAGATTGCCAATGTCAAAATGTACCATGAAGCAGTAGTAATTGTTGTAATAGTCATTTTGTTATTGATCTGGTAACAGACGATAACAAATAGATCAATGGAATGGAATAGAGTGTTGAAGCAGATCATTTAAACACACAGTAAAAGTGGTTATTTCCAATCCGTGCAAAATGAAGAACTACTCTAAATGGTGTTTAGAACAATTGGCCATCCATGTGGCACTGGGAGCATGAGACTCTTGATCTCAGGGTTGTAAGTTTGAGCTCTACATTGTATGTAGTATGCAGAGATTACTTAAAAATAAAATCTTTAAAAAAAAAAGAACAATTGGCAATCCAGTTGGCAAAAATATTCCCTATTTCACACTATAAACTCAAATAAATTTTAGAGGATTAATGAATTAAACCTAATACACCCACAAATAAACACAGGCACTTAATTAAAATTCTTTATTAGAAAGAACTAGAGTATATATTTGCTTGGAACACTGCTCTTGAGCAAAATTTACACTAGAGAAGCCATTAAGGAAAAGATTGATAAATTTTATTATATTTTTAAAAATAACTGTATGAAAAAGATAACCAATATTATCCGAGAAAAGACAGAGTGGGATAACTGTACAACTGTACAGATATACTTATAATACAGAAAAAAGAGGGAGTAGGGAGATAAAGAAGGAGCCAGGCAGGCACAACCTAAATGTCCAGCATAGAGAAAATATTAAACTATAGAATATCTATAATATGGAAATGTATGCAACTCTTAAAAAGAATAAGATGGATCTATATGTATTGACAAGTCAAACCCCTTGTAGCATAGTGAGTAAAGAAAAGCAGTTCTAGAACTACTATAGAACTATCTAGTATCATCAGTTTGCTTCTACCAATAACAAACCAGTCAGTCCCTGAATTTAGTTGTTTAAAACAATTTTTTTAGCACAAAATTATACAGATGAGTAATTTGGGCTGCACTCAAGTGGGCAATTCTTATGGTTTGGGCTGAGTCAGCTAATCTCAGGTGGACTTACTTAGACATTTGCATTCATTTGGTAAGTAGACTGGGTGTCTGGGGCCCCTTTTCATGTGGTCTCTTGATCTCCAGATGGCTAGTCCAGGTTTGTTCCCTGCTGGTTTCAGAGTTCCAAGGCAGTGAGAGTAAAAGCTCCAGTCTTCTAGTTTGGAATTGGCACATCACTGGACT